TACAAATGCGATTCTGAGGTATAATTTTGTGTTTCATGGTAAAAGTAACTGAGTTGTTTATTTTTATTTTATTATCTTCGAAGGGAATGCAATGAAAGAAATAGTCACAAGAGAGTGAAACTGCCTTAGAGAGAAAGACGTGCCACGATGGACCCTGGAAACCACAAAGGAGAGTTCTTTCTTTCGTTATGTCTGGAGGCCAGCGATGCCATGGGAGTGATTGCTCCTGAAAATAGTCAGTCTGCAACTCTGATGACCACCGACCATTTTGTCGATCGCAACATGAGTGTTTCAAGTTCAGGTAAAAGTGAAACAAACAGTTTGGAATACTTTTTCCATCACCTTTTCTTAAAGTATATATTTGATATTTCTCTTACTTGGTGTTGTCAATGGCCTGGATCGCTGATTATTCCCAGTGATGTGAGCTGCTACTCTGGGAAGACCTCTTTCTCTCCATAGGTACGGAATATCCTTTTGCTTTTCTAAAAGAGAAGTGATGGAGTATCACAAACACACGCTAACTTACTTTCTAAAGATATTCACAGCTGTTAGGAGCATAATAAGCTTCCCAAACTGACAGGCTATCACACACCTACATTTAAATATGATGACCAGTGTACTCGGTTTATATTTAAGTGTTAAAGATGAAAAGGAGAATCCATCATCTGGATTACATCATATCAACTTCTTAGAGGCTAACAGCATATTGACAAAGTGAAGAATCTGGTTCTTAAAAAAACAAACAAACTGGAGACTTATAGGAGTCATGCTCAGTGCTCTGAAATGCTCAAATAACCAATTATTGGCAAAATCCTCCTTTGAATTTTATATAGACACAATCAAAATGCTATTAATTTTTGTCATCTCAATTATTTTTTCCTCTTTTTGACTACTACCTATTCTAAAGGAGCAACAATGATAACGATTGACCATAGATGCTATAAATTGCTACCCAGCTGCCATCTCCCCTCTCCAAATGAACACAGGTTGAAACATTGGTCACAATATTCAATATATGAGCATATACATTGCTGACTTGCTGCAACAAAATAAGAAATGAACGTTTATTTAAAAGAGTATAAATCCATCAAACTATACTCATAAAGATATCAGATAAATATCTCAAGAGTTAGATAAAGTATAGTTTTCCATGAAGCAACACTGCTGTGCAAGGTCTAAAACAATGATCAGACGTTGAGTACATTTGCTGAGCTTTCAAACAGCTGAG